ATTAACTTTCTTCCCCTGAAAAGGGGGGGCTTATTTGAAAGAGGGGGCTTAATAGAGGATTTACGGTAAACATGGAGCCATTAGTTATGAAATGCTGGTGGTTAAGTAGACTTAGTTTTCACTGAGACAAAATCCTTTTCTGGTCATAGAAAATGATCATCAAAACCACATTTATTAAAAGCACTGATATGAAAATTGAAAGAGAAAGAAGATTCAATTTTTAAGCTTGTTAGTGAATAAGGAAGATGTACAGGTAATATTGAGTCCCAAGTGTGACCAACATCAGTTTTTCTTCTAACAATATCACAACACAATCAAGAGTTGACGCAAAGGTTATGAGAATGATTAAATGATCACCAAAGGGAAAATGCTTTCATCTTCTACCAAATTATCTTAATTTCATAAAAGATAACATAATTATATTATTAATGACCTTGCTCTCCGAGAACCTCTTCAGTAGCTTAAGTGAATAGGGCACACTTCCCCAACCCCCAGTGTTTAGGAGGACAAAGTTCAACCCAGTTGGGTATTCAAGATTTTTAAATTATTACGTTTGTTGAACTGATGACTCACTCAAAAGCAAATACTAAAAAACATCTGATTGCTGACATCTGCTACAACTGTATTTGTAACTGCAGTTAATCAAGATTTCTTACTTGAACTCACGTTATCTGTTAGCTGACTGAAGAAATGTAACAGTAACTAAATAAATTACCATTTCATATTTGTTAATAATAATCTGTAACAAGGCTGTTGTCTAATGGTCGCCCGGGCGCCAGAGGTGCCTATAATTTGCCCATGCACAACCAAGATTTCAAACAAGGAGCCCAAACAGGTGCCTAAAACTTTTGATTCTCAGGCCAACTTCCGGTAAAGGAACGACATTTAACTCCCTCCTGATTCTGCACTTTGGAAACAAAAACGTTGTAGGCAAAAAAAATATTTCCACCAATACAAGGTAAACAAGCAAGCACTTGTCTTGAAATTTGCTCCTGTGGCTCCCGCTGTAGTGCAGTTGAAGTTTCTAGCCTGAAGATGGCTCTAATGAATTTAATAGTCTCCGAAAAACCTTAGTATTAAAATCGTGACCTTCGCAGATCAGTAAATATCCACCACTAGACACCTACACTTCAGTGAATAATTGTTGTTATTTATAAAGAGTATTAGTTGAGGTTCATGTTACTTTTATTCGGACTGGTTCTTATGAGAAAGCTCATAAAGGAGCTGATCAATGTTCATTTAAAATATTTAAATGTTTCTGATTGACTTAATCCCCAGGCTAATTCTTCATAATTCAATTCAATTCTTTATTTCACACTATTATAGAGGATATTACACAGTGGGCAAAGATATGACTTTTATTTTCGAGTGGCAAAACAACATTTTACGAATGAGTGCAGCGAGTGACTAAAATATTGTTTTTGCCACAAGAAAATAAAATTCATGTCTTCAAGCCGACATGTAATGTTCTTTTTATTATATAGACAAAAAGACATCGATAAAATAATAGAGGGAAATGACCGAAATTACGTCATCGATAATCTCACGTGTGAGATTATGGAAAATAAACCACTCGGGTCCCGGATGTAGTTTTTATGAATTTTACGAGTGGTATATTTTCCTGTAAAACACTCGTGTCTATATAATAAAAGATATTAATATTAGATAATAATTTACTAAAAGACATTAAGTTCATTTGTGTACAATGTCCAAAGTAGCAAGAGCTTTCTTGTTGGACACCATGACATTCATATAATTGACAGCAGTTAAGAGAGGAAAAACCAGCTACCCTGACCAAATTTAGAAGGCAGGTAATTCAGCTGTTTTGCTACAGCTTGAGAAAACGGTGGGAGATAAGCAAGCTACTGAAGAACACAGCAAGATAAGAATAGCAGAAGAAAACCACTCAGATGACAACTATTTGAAAAAAAATCTGCAAGACTGAATATCCCTTTTTTTTCATATCAATTCAGTGGATAGTAATTTTTGGACATTTTGATTGGCTTGTGTAATTTGGAAAGTCCTTGGCTATTCAATATCTTGGAACTAGAAACAACATGGCATCCCATTTTGTGACAGTTTCATAAGACGACATTATTTTTGGTGATAAATGAAGCACTGTTTGTTGTAAAAACAATAATCTATCATGGCTATTCAACATTTAAGGACATTTAGTAAATAGTGAATGTTATTATTGGTAAATGTAATATCGTTTATGGAATATTATTTAATTTCTGTTGTTGCGTTCGTCAGAACGCATCCTAAACTGGTGTTCCTGTGGTACAAATGTAGAAATTTCGAGATATCATGGGCAACTGCCGATTAGCTTCCCCTATTCATTTTATCAGGAACATCTTGGCTGCAGGAAACTGGACTTCTTTGGACGCATTTTTGTTTCCTTTAGTCTCATTTTCATGCAGATGTCATGCTTGTAGATGAGACGATCCATAAGCAATGATTATTACTAGTTTAATAGCAGTAAAACGCAGTACAGTTTGTACTTACGCCACAGTTGTTGTTTCCAGATCCACACCGGAGTAATCTTTCAGATAGGGATCAGCTGCAAGCAATAAAAATGGGTAAAATTAAAAAAGACCTTAGAATGCCATTTATTCTAAAAGTGAATGTAATATTCTATTTCAATAACCAGCCTTAAGTATTTTATCTCAAAAAGACATGTACCTGTAGTAAATACAACTTCTGAGGCATGCATGATATATCACTAACTCACCCTTAAACTTATCAACTTTTCCATAATGAACTTGCAGCACAAGATAAGGAGCAGCTGTACCATGACCAACTTCAAAGGCAACATCTGAAAAAAAAGGCAGGGATGTCACTGAGATTTCAAGTTGCCGGGTAAATACAACAGGTAGGTGAGGAATCAAACAGCCCGGGATTTCTTTTGGTTCTACTTTTCTTCTATTTACCTATGAAAGTAGCCGGGGGCCACATTTGTAATAGGTGGGGGAAATCCCCGGCCCCCGGCTCTTAATGACAGCCCTGAAAGACCATGATTTTTTTTAGTGAAGTATAGTCAAACCTGTATTACCAGTAAGTATTCAAGCTCTTTTAAGCCATTATTTACCAGAAATGGTGTTCCTTTTAAATTACTATATCAAACTTACCTGTATTATATTAGTGTTCATTTTATTAAGTGGATGCAGTCACCTTTAAATACTTTCTGAGGTCCTAAAGAGTTATTTTCTATTGTTTTTACCTGAGCTATTAAATGATTTCTTTGCATGTCAAGATGTACCATATATCATACAATTTGCATGGTGTTTATTTGTCTTTCTGCTTTTTTTATACTTGGTTATTTTGCTTTCACCATCTTCAATTTGCTGGCTTTAAAACAGGTCACATTCCACAGGTCAAGAGTACAGGTCACTGCTCCATCGATAAATTACCAAACCACACAGATTCCCCTCGTTCCAATGAAGCATTTTGTAAAAGCTTAGGGCTAGGAGACACTTTTAATCCTGTATCATTTTAATCTGTATCATGGTGACCTGTACTCTGACCTGTGGAAAAGTGACCTGGCCATTTTAGACCTGCCGTCTTCAATTACTTAATTAAGTCTTAGGTCTGTCAAACCTGGATTCAGTGATCAGATTAGCTGGCCACTTTTGATCCCAAGAGTGACTGTTTAATAAAGGTTTGAAAATAATGGAGGGGCAGAAGTATCCATTTTGATTGGATGAACCTTGTGCATAATACATGTATTATTCATTCATATAAGGCATTCATCCAAAAGTTGCTTTGCTAAGATGTTTGAAGGGGCCACTAAAATAATGTACTGTACTTACCATTAGGAAGTTTCAATTCCGGTGCATTTCTTCCCCAGGCATACACAATTTTCTCTCCAGAACCACAAACGCCTGAACCCATATCTCCACAATTCCTGTACAAAAATAGCAAGATTTTACTGTGTATTTAAACTCATCGTCAACTAAGAAATTTGGAAACTGGTGCCTTAGAAACTAGAGGGAGCAAGCATATTTAATCCAGGCACAGTATGGAGGTATTCATGGTAATCACACATAAAGAAGGAACCACCCACCATTGGCTGCTAACATGCACTGTCACACTGAACGTCGCCCAGTGCTAAAGAAAAGAAACACTTACCTACATCCACAGTTACCCCTGAAAATGAAACAGGTTTTAGAGGGCGGGGAGAGGTGGCAGGGTGTAAAAAGAATCCGCAAAGATTTGCAATCAACAGGCTGTGATCCACAAAGATGCAATATTGCGTACTGTAAATGAGCCCTACAGATCCTAATGGGTACCCCAAAGACATGTGCAAAGGAAGGTGAGACTTATGGCAGCAATTAGCTGGATACAGTAAAACGCCGTGAAGAAGAACCTAGATTTTTTGAAGTTTGGCAAAATAGATTCTTATAGTTTGGAGTATTTATTGGAAGTTTAGGCTAAACAGGTTCTTAATTAGGTTCTTAATTTTTATGAAGAAGGATACTGTTGTTGATTACAAGAAATTGCTATAAATGGTATTTTGCCCTTCATAATAGGCATTTATATACCAAAAATCTAACAAAACTAGGTTAACAGCTAGAAGATACGCAGTTTTCTACAATGGTTCTATACATTATACATTTATTATATAATGTAATATAAATTTCCCATATTAAAGCCAGACTTATGGTCAAAATGTTTATGAAAATGTAGTCTAACCCCACATATAAGAACCTATTGATTTTTCTTGGCTAAACTTGTTCTTATATGTTGGCATATTAAAATGACAAATTTCTGCCAGCAGGTTCTTAAATCCTAGGTTCTTCTTCGCAGCATTTTACTGTATTAACCTTGCTTCCATTTAACGTTCATTTACATGTAACTACAAAGTTGAACCTCCCATAATTAAGTGTCTGGCCACCCAGTAATATGAAGATTTACTGGTCTAAAAAGAGGGTCAGACACATTAAGTTCTTTTAACTGAATTAATTATTGCATGCTATTTCTAAGTTACGATATGTGAAGATCCATGTCATCCCTAAAATTTAGAGGAGCAGTTTAAAAACAATGGAAAATTATAAACCGTCACCTCAAGTAGTGGTCACAGTTGCAAAAGACAGGGTTTGAAATCAATGCTCGCAAACTGACAAAATGTGCGTGATTTTGATAATCTGTGAGTGAGAAAAATATCCACTAGCAAACGTTTGAGAGTAAGAATGATCTATCTCTCCCTACAAAGTGAAAGAATTTGCTAGTGGTCTCACCAGTTTGCTAGTGAAAAAATATCTTATCAGCAAAACTTTGCAAGTACACTAAAAAGTTAGCTTCGAGCCCTGAAAGACCATTTTACAGTTGTGGGCTTAGTATCCTAGGCTTTAATTGAATGTCAGGCTGTGGTTGACCTTGTTTTGGTACTACCTCCTTCCCTTTCTTATGGAAATTACATTTGAAAAATACTAGTTAGCATAAGAACAACATGATTTACATGTCAAAGCAGAGAGGTTTGTGCAGCGGTTTGAACAGATTTTTAGATCCAAAATTTCAAGACTTTTTCCAGTCCCTGTTTGTATCAAAACAAGCCTCGTTGCCACCTGTAACTGTAAAATGGGCTATTACCAGAGGAGGTTGTTTAGGAGAAGTTTCAACCATAGGGCTGGGATTGGGAAATTTTAGTGTTTTGAATAGGTGGCTGATTATAGGACAGGGCTCAAAATTGCGACTGATACGGTCGCCAGTGAGACTAACATTTTCTCCTTGGCGACTAAAAATTCTGGTTAAGTCACCAAAGTGGCGACCAGATTTCTCTATGATTTAGATTTAAATTAAAAGAGTAAAGTTAAAAAGAACATTTCATCTTATCTTGCTTTGCTTTCATCATAAAAAATGTGCCAAATCGCATAAACAAAGCCAGTTTACCTCCAAATTTATACCGACTTCTATCCATGATATTTGCAAATCTGATGGATCGTGCCATACTATCAGGCTGCATCATTTACGTTATGCAAACTGGCGACTAAAAATTTGCATCTTGCGACTATATTTCTCCAGTTGGTCGCCAAAAGTTGACCTAAGGATTTTTTTAATTTCGAGCCCTGTAGGAGGGTTTGCTTACAAGAGGTGGTTGCACATGAGGTTCCACTTCCACTATAGTAATAATATTATTATTATGCTACCAGTCTTATTAAACTTTGTAAAATTAAAAAAAATAATATCAGACATATAATTTATACAGAGCCTGTATACAAAAAACCTACCTGACTCTCTTGGTTAGAGGACTGACGGCAGTCAATAATATACCACTAACAATATATTTTCATTAAAGTATTAAGCACATACCAATATTTTTTATCCTTAGCAAACAAATTTTCTCCTGGGGTTTGACATCCAAACATTAACATGTGATGAGCAGTGTGCATTTCAGCAAAAGGCTTGAATCCCACTGCAAAGGACATTACAAAACTTTTATTTCCATTTGTCGAGAACAACTTGTTACAGTAAACAAAAGATTTTCTGTGAAGTAAATGTTGAAGTGACAGCTTGGAAATTTCAAGCAAAAGGAGCTCAAATTGACAAAACTGAAAATCTGAAACTTTTTAATTGTGGTTGCTAAAGACATCAATAGTCTTCCAGATGTTTCAAGAAGCACCGACAACCGACAAAACATGTCAGCTACTTTGCTCAGAGAAATCAGCTAATTTTTTCCATTAAATGGGAAGCTGGGAATAAAGCATTAAATTAAAGAAAGACTTATTTCAATCAGAATGGACACGTAATGCAAAGTGAGGCTCAGTCTTTTCAGAAATTTTTAAAATTGAAATTAATTTAATGCTTTATTCCCAGCAGTGCTTAAGATCAAGATACTCAAAGTGAACAATGTGAATACAGTAAATGCACGACCTGCAGAACTGATACAATCAACAAAGAGTGATGATATTTCCACAGTGAATATGAGCAAGACAATCTTTTTCCCAGAATTCTCTTACGACATGGTGAGAGTAAACGCATACCCAAAGTACACTTCAGCAACAACGACAATAGGCAACTTTGGAGCAAGCCAAAGGTCGCCTACAATGAGTGAGTGAATAATTCGCACTTCTCAGCCCACAGTGATAACTTGGTGAAAAACCCTTTAGTGGAGGGGGACAGGGGGCTGGAGCCCAGCAGAACAGGGTGCAGGAGGTGTATGGGAGACGGGAGAAGAAAGGGCGGGAAGCAGGAGAGAAATTCAAAAAGGCAAGCTTTCGTTATCTGTTACTGCTTATCATCCAGTCAAAGAAACGAACCCAACAATGTTTCTTGACTTCCATTTAACATTCTCCGAGGCTTAAAGCAAAATTTTATATATGAGATAATTAAAAAAACGAAAATTCGTACTCAGGATAAAAAAAAAACAGCATTACTTCCAGTGAAATTGGAAACCTTTACAAGTTGCTTACATCATAGGTCATGAATGAGATGGCATGACACATGTACACATGTGTCAACTGTATCAGTGGTCTCAGTGTCTCATCTGTCTCGCTAGCTGTTGAAATTCTTTATAAGAAAGACAAAGCGAGTCAGGTCAAATGTCGTCAGAGACCATTTTGATCAGTCTTGGTATTTTTCGGTGTGGTAGGGAAAAATCTGTCCATGGAAGACCTTCTAGCTGGGAGCTCGCAATAACTGCAAAAGCTATTATACTGCACAGTGGACTGAGACTATTAGTGGGATGTCAGAGGCAATGGTCGAACCTAGATAACCAGGTTAGTGAAAACTCAGTTTAACAAAGGAAACTGACCTGTAACAATTTCCACCTTTGGCAAAAGTACCCCACAGCTTTAACATTAAACCTGGGCTTCTAATCTTTCTAATTTTCATGATAAAAGGAGAAACACAATAAAGGGCAGGAGTTGGGAGACAAAGGGACAAAAAGGTACGTGAGGCAGGAGAACGGGGTACGGGAAGCGGGAGGTTGTGAACACCCTGCCCCCCCCCCCCCCCCCCCCCCGCACCCACAATTTTAAAATTAAACCTTGGGTTTAAAATTTTTTAATTTTTAAAAAAAAAAGGAAAAAAAAAAAAAGGGGAGGGGGGGGGAAAAAAAGGGAAAAAAAAGGTCGGGAGGGAGGGGAAGGGGGGAAGGGAAGGGGGGGGTTTTTAAACCCCCCCCCCCCCCCCCCCCCCAACCCTTTGGTATTTATGAGTTGAAAATGAAAACTTCCTATCAGCAAGCAGAAACTATCTTTAGTTACCTATATAGTGTTTCTGGTCACTGAGATCAAGAGCTGTACACATGTATGAATCATGCTGCAAGGTAATAAAATTATTTAATAATGGTTAATAAACAATGAAATAATTATTATTAATTAGTTATATTCTTATGAAGGGACTCAGCACTTCCAACTGGAAGAATTATAGTGGTTAACTAACAAGAAGGTTGCGCTTTAGTAAATAATTAAAGGGAGCCCGCTGCTCTAACCTGTGAAATCAAGGGTGCCTGGCACATGATTTCTCCGAAAAACTGAGATTTTCCTTTTGCCAGGGTAGTGGGAAGTTTGAGGCGAGAGGCATCCTAAGAGTAGGGAATTTGACCTTTAACTAGGTGGGTTGGAGAATTTGAACTGAAAGTGTCAATCAAGTTCAACTTCTTTGTATATATGTTGTGGTGAATTTCTTATCTCAGGTAATTTTTATTTTTCCCTTGTTTCAACTTCATTAGCATACATTACCCTATCTAAAAACAAAGGACAAATAAAAATTACCCCAGATAAAAAATTAACTACAACATTTATATGACCCAGTGTCTGCCAATGTCGTATCTTTCTCATAGCGAGCTTTTGTAAGCAAATGGCTTGTTTGACAAGGACTTCAAAAGCTATTATCTAACAATCGATTAGCGGACACTTGAGGCCGAAATTGTCCTCTCAAAACACTAGAAAAAGACGTTTCAGGGCTTCAAGATTTCAAAACTTTCTGGGGGAGCATGCCCCCAAGCCCCCCTAACAGCTCGATCACCCCTTTGGCCTTTGCATAAATTGTGGTTGATTTCACAAATTGACCACAATTTTCTGTGGTCAACACTCTTATAGACCATAAAAATGACGTCATAAAATGTTCAAAACCCAAGTGGAACCACGAGTCGCAGGCGAGTGGTTCCGCTGCAAAGTTTTGAACATTTTATAGCGTCATTTCTATGGTCTCTAAGAGTCTAGATCACAGAAAATTGTGGTTGATTTGTTTTTTCACAATAACATTTAGTTTTTTTACAAAAAACTAAAAACAAAACAACCAGCACTGAGTGACATGTCACGTCATTTCCATGGTCTATACTCTCATAGACAATAGCTCTTGACCAATCAGTGAGCGAGGATTTGCTCAGTTATTGTAAAATAAGAAATATCGCGATTTTACATACTCAAAAGGTTGAATAGTCTGAGTATACTTTTCAGATTCATGATCTGCACTATCAGTCATATCCAACCTTATGGTAAAGCCCTTGACCAGTACAATCGCCTATTAAATGTAACGGGAATTAAAATAGGTATTCAAATGCCCGGGGTTGCCTGGGGAAGGTAAGATGTTGAAAGTTTGAATTGATCAATGCATTAGACATAAGATACGTGCATATGAATTCTTGTTACCCAACAATGTAACCAGGGTGAAATTTTCCAAATAAACACAAGGCAGTTAGGTTTCCTGAATGAAACAGACACCTTGCAAAAAATCAGTGCTAATCCCAAAATGCCATGATAATGATTATGTTGTGGTTCAATTTTATCCTTGGTTTAAATTTTCTTTTCTTTTGTTTCAAAATCAATATCATACATACTTACAATACCCAAAAACAAAAGAAAAGAAAATTTAACCAAGGAAAAAATTGAACCACAACAATTACAATAAATCTATGAATGCAGATATAGAAACTAGATTGATATAGATGGCCAATTGCGTAAGCTCTGAAAATTTGTAGAACAAACAAATATGTATTTGGACAACCTTACAAATTATGTACATGAATGAATCACCGAATAATTTGTTGATTCGAAATTTGTAATAATTATTATATTTACATAAAGCCAGTCTTGTCTTGAAAGTCAACAGAGCATTTTAATTCCAATTTTTGAAAATTTGTCTCTTCAAAACCAAACATTTTCATTCACTTAACTTATCAATATCAAGTGTAAAAATTTCTTCTTCCCCACAAAAAAATCCCCAAGTGGGGATTCCATCAGGGTGAGATCCCGTACAGCTATTTGGAAAAAAATATTTGATTTCTGCAAGAAAATGTTTATTCATCACAGAAGAAATTAGTAATTTTTCAAGCATACGATCCTATTATAAAATATCTACGAAATACTTCACCAAAGACGTTCACCAGTACATGTAGTACAATATTTTATTTAAACAATGCTTCTTCCTTCAAAGGAATTTGTGGAGAAACAGAGTATTTTTTTCAACTTTGAATTTTCACTTAACCGATTGCGACCAGGCTAGTGTCTTCTCAATCGCCATGCATTTTATCACGATTTTTTTCGCTCCAAACGTCAAAGGTTTCACATGTAAGTTATTAGAAGAAATTTACTTAAATAAACGTGTTTAGAACGCTTGAGTAATATTCCTTCAAATGTGACCAAGTAGAATTTATAAAATATAATCAGCTGCCCATAGAAAGCCAGCTGACAAAAATAACTTCTTGAATAACTTACTGGTCCTTACTCGTCGTTCACGGGAAGAAATATACGTACAGGGTTTCAGTTGGTCCGTCGATAGATCAGAATCAAAGAGAAAATGGTGAATTGGGCAGTTGTACGATCAACTAAAATTATTTTACTGCACAAGTATAAGCGATGCCCAAAGAAAAGCCCATAAACACCGATCGGCAAAAATAATTACTAAAGGCGACAAATGTGGGCAAGAGAATCTTTCCTGTTAAGTAAGAAGTAAGCTTACCTTTTCCGGGTGAATACCGGGCATCTTGAAATCCACAACATTTAACCTCTGGCTCTTCACTCGTTCTCTGGGAATCTCTCTTTGATATAAAGTGTCGTAATAGTCCCTCGCTTGATCATCAAAAAAATCATAAGAGAAAGACTTCGCTAATATCACTGACAGGGTCAAAACCACTATCAAAATCAAAACGGCCACCGATTTTCTGTCCATGGCGAACTGTGACGGTTCAGTGCTCGAAGAATGACGATTTCTAATTGTAGGTCGACTTATTCTTGTCCGGTGATCTTGAGCATATTTTCTCTTGGCATAAAAAGAGAAATAGAACAATTCTCAGTACATTAATTTGTGATCAAGCGAAACGCCTGCCAAATAAATGCCCCCTTCCTACTCTGTTATTTATGCATTTTGTCATTGCGAGGTGATGTATTGAAGCGGAAAAGTATTGAAATACAGCGCTTTGATTGGTTGAAATAAAAACGCCCTCATCTGAAACGCGCAAAGCGCGAAAATAGTCTGCAGCTGGCCAGAAAACGTAGTTTGAATTTTTTGCTCTCAAGTTAATTTTCTTTTTTTCATGTGCACATTTGGTCTGCCAAAAACAAAAAGCGACAACAATAAAAAAGGAAAGAAAACGCAGTAAAAAATTCATGAGCAAAATGAAATAAGATATGGATTTACCTGCGAGGAGAAACGGATGTTTTCGCAGGCTAGGATTTACCCAGAATGATTCCTTTTTACCCTTTGGAAGGTCTCAAACTGAACTGACATGAAACTCATATATTAAGCAGTTTTAATATAAAAATGTGAATAGAGGTATTTTGTTGGAAAAAAAATCGCCTCATCAATTTGTGATGAAACCGTATGTGTAGAAATTTTTCTTCCTTTATTCACATAATTTTAAGAACGACTTTTCCCTTCGACTTAGAAAATTTCACAACATTTGTTCCCTTGTGTATGTTTTTATTTATTTATTATTTAAAGTTTTCACACAGTCAAGCCTGCATCATAATCACATCTTTTCCTGGCGGCTTTTTTTTCTGTCGAGCAGGCAAAAAAAAAACGTCGAAAAAAGACCCACTCAACTAAGCTTGTCGAGTAAAATTGATGATATCCTTGAGTATTGGCTCTATTTCGATTTAAAGAGGGGCAATTTTTGCTATATTTACCGGCCGTAAGTGTTTTTGGTCGGTCCGGTGTTCTGACGTAAGCGAGTCCTATTGTAATTTTACCTGCCCTCTTCAGGTGAGCCTACGCATTAAGGAAAATGAAAGTCACTTACTGACAGCTGCCTGGGAGTGATTCACTATTTCCATTTCTGTAGCCAATAGATCGTTTTCACATGACGTCGCAGCGGCCATATTTGTGTACAAAAAAAATCCTTTGGGAATTGAACTCTTTTCACATGTTTAAACTTTTTTTTATTCCAAGCAATTTGCAAAGCTGCTGACCACGTGACTAAAAACGATCTATATCCAGGATAAATCATGAGTCATGATCAGTTTGAGAGTCCACCGACGGAATTGTCCTCAAGGCGCACTTGTGTACCGAGCTGTAATTCTTGGGATATCAAAAAACTTTGAAGATCCTTGAGATTATTTCTTAATTTATTTCTTTCATTGCCAATTTTCGGTGGGGGATTTAAATTAATTACCAGGACTCAAAATAAGCCATCGAACCACATGTTTAATTAATTGCCCAGTTGTTTTATAGACTTCAAATATGCCTAACGAAATTTTTTCAAACACCGTAAGCTGCATCTGTACTTATGTATGCTGATCACACACACCTTGCTTACCCTTTCCGCTTATGACCCCACATGCACACAACTCTTGAAGAAAAGTTAACAAAGACTTGGATGAGGTTCAGAAGTGGCTGAAATCCAATAAACTTACATCAAATGTCAAAAAGACAAAATACGATTAATGGAAGCCACTACTGACTAATGCTTTTAACTGGTGACTTAAACGTTTTGTAAATAGTCAACAATTGACTTGGGTGTTTAACTACAGATATCTGGGAATAGAGGTTGACGAGGCATTGGGGTGGCAATCCCAAGTAGATATCATCTGTAAAAACGTATCTGCTGGTCTAGGGGCCTTAAAACGTATTCGTTCCCTGGTGCCTCACCAAACCCTACTGAGAATGTATGAGATTATGAGGCTTTGGTTGCTTCTTATTTTGATTATTTCTCCGATGTTTGGGATGTATGGGAAAAGGCCTGTGTGACAGACTCCAGATTAGTTGCAAAATAGGGCTGGGAGAATTATAACAGTTAGTGATATAATACCCCAGGGGGGGTGGGGTACTCCCTATAATGGCCTATACAGGGAGGCTCCGCCCAAAAGCGATACCTTTTTCAGGCTTCAGGTATATAGAAGGGTAGGGATTTTACTTGTTGAACTATATGAAAGGGTAGGGAAATTTGTCATTTGGGTCTGTAAAATGGCCCAAAGTGCAAACAGATGAATTTTATGGCTTTATAAAGTCCAGAAAACGTTGTATTTTTTTGATTGATTCCTATCAAAGGACAGTGCATTAACAGCAGTTAAAAGAGATGCAAAGTTCTAAACAAGGTATTTGAAAGGGGTACCATTTGCCAACAGGAAGGTACACAAAAGGGGTACCTTTTTTGTGAAAAATGGTATACAAAAGGGTAAGTGGTTGGACCTCGGGGCGGAACCCCCCTGCATAAAAATTTGTCGAGTACCCCCCCCCACCCCGGGTATAATACAAGATCTGTGGATACTCCAAGACTTAAGATGGGATACCCTTGAGCAAAGATGCTAAATCTCTGAATAAACTTTATCCTGAGGGGTTAAAGAACATGTTCTAACCAACCTCCACGGTTCATTCCTGCAGCATACAAGGCGCCTCGAACAATGTTTTTGTACCCAGGCCAAAGGCGGGCTTTTAGCTATAAGGGGTAGTCACGTGGAATGGCCCAGAAAATGAGTTTAAAGATGAGATAAATCTCAACCCTTTTAATTCTGCCCTGACTTTGTCTTGAACCAGGGATGGCCTTGAGGGAGTTGTGATAGAACTTATTTTAGTTATATGTTATATTAAGTGTATTGATGAAAACTGCCACAGAAAATACACAAACAGGATATTTCTACAAAAACACATGGATCAATAATGATCAATAATTAATCTTTGCGTCCTATGGAGTGGATGTCATGAATTATTTTGCTTCTTAAAGGATTTTTATGTGTCAGGAATGCAGGACACAGAGGTTACAAAATCACTGCCCTCATACATTTTATTCCGCCATATTCCTTTGTGTACAGAGTATGTTAGGCAGAGACAGTCTAAATTCCCTATATCCAGTTGTACTGAAGGTCTGGAGTAACAAGTCCAGCTGCAGTGTAGGCTAAGAGTATGTTTACCATTTCCAATATCTTTTATGATATTATCTCTGCAAACACATACATGTTGTCAGTAAATGAAAAAGGTTTGTGAGGCTTTGATTAAACATTGCACCACTAATGATCCAAGCTTAACTCAGGAAAGAGTGACGGCTAAATTATTTTGTCTATCAGCAAAAGATTCAAACATCTAATTATCTTCTTTATATGCTTTAAACTTCTCAAACTTATTAATAATAGACTTTTTACCGATATGGTGGCCATATTGAATTAATTAGATAGGATGCCCAAGAGCATGAGCACAATCTGATATACTCACTCAGTATTTACACATGCTTTTCACATCAATTGTTCTTTAGGTTTTCCTAGAAAAGATTGTAATGGGAAAAAAGATTGTTTTGCCGTGTTTGGATTTAATAATGATTGCCTTTTTCTTGAGAAATATACAGTGTAGCTCTCTTTCTACCCGAAAAGCTTGTGTAAATACTGAGCAAGTGCCCATGGGCATCCCATAATACTCCTTAAATCTAATAAATTCAATATGGCCACCATATCGGTAAAAAGGTCCATTTATACAGAAAATACAAAGGATATTAAAGAAGTGTTAATTGGAAATCAGATGAACAACTACTCATTTTTCCATCCTTAATTTCTCCTTCTAAATTCATTTTGTTTGAGAAGTAATATCAAGCATTTGACACAGTGTTTCATCACCAGAAGAAACACCTTGAGGTTTGTCAAAAATACTCCACTGCACGTTGTATTTTCTTTTCTGAGTGATGAAACACTGCATCTCATGCTTGAAATATTACCCAATATACTGAAACTGTAAGTGCCAGGGCTACAGACCCCACAAGGTGCAGAGCTTCATTTTTGGGAGGGCTATAAAGGGATGGATGTCCAGTAGGTAACAAGTCATTTCATCTGAAAGCCAATTTGCTTAAGATCAGTTTGCCCCGATTAAAGGGGCTATGTCATGAGGATATTGCTGTATTGGGTAAATTATGTGCTTAACCCTTTAAGTTCCATTATCCACGTACAAATTCTCCAAACTGATCTCCATAGATTTCCTTACAGAAGTAGTTGAGAGAATTTGTTCAAAGATCAAAGCATTTTCTCGTAGGTGATCATTTTGTTCATTCTCCTAACCTTTTCTTTTAATTATGTATTGATATTGTAAGGAGAAATTTGATGTTGGTCACTCGGCAACTTAAGGGGTTAAGTCAATACTTAGTGCCTTAACACTTCTGTAGATTTATGAAGAAGATATTATCAAACAAATCTCATCAGGAGGCACTAACCGTAATTATATTTTTGGTGATTTGGGAGGCATGGCACTAAAACTTGAAAAAGTTGGCCCAAGTTTTTCAAGTTTCAACCCAAGTCCATCCTTTGCCACCCATTACAACAGATGACAGGAAATAGTTTCAATACCAAAATATAATCTTGAATAACAAAACTGGACCATTATTTTTGGAATTCACTTGATGCAAAAACCATTTTAGCTTTTTAAAAAGTTAGCAAATAACATGGCATATCCCCTTTAAGTCGATTTGCACGATGTTTATTTGTCATTCTTTAATCCTGCAAAAAAGGGGAAAATAGTGAAAAGACAGTAACTGATTTTCAAGATCGCTATGATCTATCAGTTTCCTATCAGTTTTAGTAATCAGGAATAAAATTAAAGCTTAACTGATAAGCCTTGTTATAGTTTGTAGAGTGTTGTATGTCATCAGGCAATTCAAATGGACCTTTTCATTTTTTATTTCAACTTTTGACATAGACAAGTTAGGGAAAATCCATCGACACCACTGTGACACCACCACAAAGATCAGTAAACTCATCTCATTTGAAAGTGATTTGTTGAAGACTAACAAAGATATGGCTCCTCAATGCCACAAAATTGTACAGATGTTTTGTGTGACGGGGGGTACAAACTTGCCTATCAGCTTTCTCCCATATGACCACAAGTGATCTCCACCCCCAAACCAGGGGGGGAGGTGGCATCTACAGAGTGACTTTGCATGTTTATCGCAATAATTAACACCTTCAGAAGCCTATTTAAGGCTTCTGATACTTTTAATGTTTTTCAAGTTTTGATAAAGATGGCTGACAGTCATTGAAACTGTCAGCATCAATAAGACGTTAAGACTGGCTGTTTTAAGAACATTTAAATCGACAAACTTGCGCCCCACAACGTATCACTTTCAAATTTGGCAATGTTACTAATTTTAAGGTGCTCTTTCCACTGGTGTCAACAGATTTTCCCTAACTTATCCATGCCAAAAGTTAATAAAACTGTGAAAAGGTCTATTAGACCTGGCAAACTCCATCAGGTGAACTGACTACAGTGAAACCTCTTTAATACGGACACCAAAGGGACAGAACCAAGTGTCCGCTTTACAGAGGTGTCCGTATTATAGAGGTAGGGAATGTATGATTTTTGGCATTTCTGGGACCAAACGAACTGTCTGTAAGGAGAGGTCCGACTGTATTAGGTGAAACAACCACAATTCGACATCTGTGTCTGTCAGATAAGGTAAAACAAAATATATAGAGGAACCAGACAGTCCAACTCTCGTTGACACTCTTAGTTGTTGTTGTTGTTGTGCTAGAAGGACTCAAATTCATGCAGTGTTGTAATCACACTTAAGACTGCTAAGCATTGATGTTGTTACAACTCCCCACAATCTTCAATCACAACTTTCTTGCTTGTTTTACCACCCTTTGAACCAGTTGCTTCAACTTTCCTTACTACATCCAGTCCATCAATAACATGACCAAAAACAACATGTTTTCCATCCAACCAGTCGGTTTTTTCAGTGGTGATGAAAAACTGAGATCCGTTTGTGTTAGGGCCAGAGTTAGCCATAGATAATACACCAGCACCAGTATGCTTGAGCACAAAGTTCTCATCCGCAAATTTCTGACCATAAATGGACTTTCCCCCAGTACCATCGTGTTTAGTAAAATCTCCGCCTTGAAGCATGAATTGCGGAATGACCCTATGGAATATACTTCCTCGGTATCCAAACCCTTTCTCGTGAGTGCAGAGAGAGCGAAAGTTTTCTACAGTCATTGGGACAACATCATGCCTTAGTTCAATGGTTACACGTCCTGCATGACGCCCCCCGATGGTTATATCCAAGAAAACGCGAGGATTCCCTTTCTTTTTCACCGTTCCTTCTTCGCCAGTAGCCTCTTGGCTTTGCTCTTCAGCATCTTTCATTTCGGAGTCTTCCACGGTCTTTCCTGCGTATTTTTTAAGCCAGTTATCTTCACTCCACACTGCACGGCTGTACCCTTCTTTTATTTTCATAGGCTTAGCAATATTAACACGGACTGTGCGCCCAAAAAGTTCAGTTTCATTCATGTTGTCGATGGCGGCAGCTGCATCCTCTGCTAGTTCAAACTCAACAAATCCAAAGCCTCGGTGCTTCTGACTTGAGTAATCCATCGGTATTTGTACATCTGTGATGTCTCCAAATGGAATGAAGGCAGCATGGAGGACTTTTTCGTCAACTTCTTCAGCTAATCCTCCAACGTAAACCATGCGCTTGTTCGCCATTTTGGATTTTTTCAAACGGATATTGCATTGTGGGTAAAAAGGCCCAGTCTCTCCCGCGCTTAGACACGACAGGAAGCAAAGATGTCGATGGTGAAGTCGATAGTTCTGTATTTTAGTGAAAAATTTTCTAAAGATGTGGCTCATATTGCTCCAGGTAAGGAGTATTACCAATGAATGTCTTAATTGAGGATGAAGAAAGCTTCTTTGGCAGAGGATAACAATGCTAATTTGCAAGGGAAAGAAGGAAGCAAGCTTAACAGGTGAGTGAGTTTGCATTTCGCTGTACATAGCAAATTCAGTTTTCTTCTCGATAAAACGCGTATTGAGGACGGTTTGGTGAGGGTAACTTGTTCATCTTTTACATTTTAGTCTTAAATGACGGCTGTAGAGGTTTATGGGAAGATACCGAATACATTTTCTCCAGAATATTAGTGTACAAAATTCTGGCTTGAGGTTAAGCTTAATTCAATTGGGATTCATAAGCTTTTTATATATAGTTGCTTACGATGATAAGTTTATTCGTTTCGCTTCGCGTGATCGGGTGGCGACAATTTAAAAATAAGTAACGGATGGCTTCGAGAAACCCCTTCACAGCACTTAGAGACGATATATTTAATGAATTATATGTATTATAGATTTGTTTAAATAGTCACAAAGCTGGGTTTAAGTCTTGTACACAATGAAATTTATATTCTTAATATTATCATCTTTTACCCTAATATGACATGTTTAATACTGAAAATTCTTGAAAGGGTGTTTGGCTTATTTTACTGTTGTTGTTGTTAAAGTAGTAATAAGAATCTTCAGTATACTTACAAAATAATGTAACAAAATTAATTAGCATATATTCCTCATAATTAACTACATGTAGCACTAGTGGGGAGTTTAGATGGTGCCTGTGGTTTAAGGAGATGGCCTGGCAACAGTTATCAAGGTTATTGCATTTGTATTTAAAGCAAGATTCAAAATCTGCATTCTGAAACTTGCACACTAGTAAACTGAAAGAAAACTGAAAAAAAATTTGCTTTCACTATTAAAATAATGTAAAAGTGATTTACGGAGCTCAGGCTTGTGATTGGCAAGCATTCCTTGTTCTTTTTCTACGATCATCCAACTTGGTTCATTGCTTGTTTCGGGAGGAGATACAGAAGGGAAGTTTAGCTAGAGGTGTGCTGTTGAGGTCTTCAAACCCTGACCCTGTTTATCCCTTACGAAGATTTGTAAGCCCAGGGGCCCATTTCTCGAAAGTCCCGATAATTAACTGGCCCGGTAAGCTGTCTCTGTTTACATTAAAGATTGAGGTTTCAAAAGTTTTGCAGCTAACATGATAAAACTAACAGTTAATGAAACAAAATGGAGTAGTTTGCTAGCCAGGACCAGTGCTCTTATTCTTTACATTTCGATTTGAATACTTGATTTCGGGCTTGAAAAGTTACCTGGACTTTCGAGAAATGGGCCCCAGGGCTGTCAGGGCTGTCAAAAAGTTTTTAAGTAGCAGGCTGATAGTGAATAGTAAATGGCTTTGGAACTTGCACCAAAGCTACAAGTTCTTGAGGGCTGAGGCATCTAGGGACATTTTGAAATTTAGAGTCTCGGAAATTGCATTTCCAGGAATTTACAAGAGGTATTTTCCACCTTGGAGGCCATGTTATTTGGTCAGAATACTGGCGAGACTTGGAACAATGCCGTTAAAATGTCCCAAGCGTTCCACAACATCACACGGTTCGAACGTTTCATAGATCATAGCCTGCTAAATATGCATTCAGTGTCATTCAAATCTGAGAAATGGTTGCTTTGCAATTTTATTTGATGGTGCTTATTTTTTGTTAGCAGTGGTAGAAGAGATGAAAGTAGCCGGCTAAGGATGGCCAACTAGCCGGCGGTTTTGGCCGTCTACCGGCCCTTATTGACAGCCCTGGGCTTGTGAGTGACAGTCTATGGCATGTAAAATTTTTTTTGACAATTTTTGTTTCATCGTTACAATATACCTTATTATAGGAAATTAATGTGATTTTCAAAAATTTGCATCAATGTAAAATTTTGTAGGCGTTTATTTTTGTGCCATTAATTAAGTGGAGAATGAAAATAGTCTCATGAGCTGAGCATGCTCGGGAAATCGCTGTCAAAATTACTCTTCCTGCTCTCGTTTGAATTGATTTTAGTGAAAAAGGGGTCGGAAGGCAACTCACGACTTTTACTTCCTGCCAAAATGCTGCTTGCTCCAGTAAGTGTTCTTTGTTCCAGTGGGTAGATGTTCAAAATTTTGACTGAGAAAATTTAATATGTGAATTTTGCCACTTGTTCGCTTGTTTCACACTGAGAGGTCATTTCTGACATTCTTGCCACCTAAGAAGAAAGGAGTGTTTTATCGGGTTAGATATCCACTAGTAACAGTGAAACTGTGAGGAAACCTGAAATTGGCTAGATTTCTTAGCTTGACACCTTTGTGCATCTGGGAAAGCAAAGTTTCCATATTGGATTTAGCATTTAACTGTGTTCCTGTTGTCTGAACAAGTTTTGTTTCTTTGGGCATCGCGCTAATTTTCTTCATTTTGAAATGTTACCTTCCTCTCTCTGTTGATTTCCTTTCATTTTCTAGAGAGTCGTTCACCACTAAATTCACGTTAATTTAAGGCACATCAATTTCCAGTTATACCCTAATTTCATGGACCATTAATAACTTTAGTGTAGTGCAAAGTAAAGGATTCATGACACTCAGGAATGTTTCAAAGTTGCACCCCAATATCCTGAAGTTGCTTCAAAATTAGTTCGAGATATATTTCAGTTCTTTGATTTAATTATTCTTATTCTTATTTATTATTCTGGCTGCAAATATTGACTGCAGAAGTATTTTACAGAAAATATTGAAGCAAATTGGGCCAGTAGCTTCAAAATACGAGCAAAAATCAAGAAACGAGCAGTTTTCAGTGAGTCTCACCTTGCAGACGAGTTTGCATGCTTATGTCGTGCGATATGTTTCTCCAAAGTGTGTTTTAATTTGGCTTTTTTCTGTCAAAACCTTGTCTTTTTCTGCTGAAATCTGGCTTGCAATTCGTTTTACACCGTGGAAAACCCAATTTATTAGTTTGCAGGTTAAATTCCCTGCCGATAGATCAAAGTTTCAGTTCTGTACTATGGTCTAGAGTATAATAATTTTTACGTGAACTGTACTACCATGTTAGTGGGTTTTTTTTCTAAATCAAGTGGCCAAAATAATGCTAAATATGTTTTTCAATACACTTTTAAAAATAAAACCACACAATAAACAAAAATGAAGAAGAAGAAAGGAAAAAACAAAGTATTCGCCGTGGATTACCGATCCAGTTCTTAACCCCACCCGACAAGGCTTAACTTGAGTGGCACTACTAAAAAAGCGAGTTTCACATGCGCGAGGGAACTTATTCTGAGATGCGTATTTCACGTTTATGAGCAGTCTTCATTCAGTGACCATCTTTTCAGTTTTAATAAGTATTTTCTCTTTTTTATGGAACCAGTTACACCAATGGTCGGTGCCTATTTCTGGATATCTCCATAAGAATTAGCCGTACGACTAGTTACAAGAACATGGTACTGGAAATGATCATCAATGAAATCCATGGGCTTGCATTTTTCCGCAAACTTCAAAGCTGATAGCTGACAAGCCCTGATCAGCAGATCAAATTATCACAATCAGTGAACCTGTATAGTGTTTGTGACAGAAATGTTACTCTGGGTTTGTTGTAGGTCTTCTATGCAGCTGGCCAACAGGCTTGACATTCAACTAAAGTCTGTTGTTGAGTGGCAAGAACTTTTTCAACCAGATGCTATTGCACTCAGACACAGGTATGTCAACTCAAAATAAAAATATGATTTAACCGCAAACTCATTTTGACACTCTTTATTTGATTGTATACCAGCACGTGTCAGTAGTGCTTATAAAATAAAGTTCCTAGACCAGGATAATTGCCTACACTGTTCCATTAAGTTGGTTAAGTATGGTGCTGGCCAGAGTTTTCAGCTTGTAGTGCTGTGGTGTGTTAGGCCGCATTAAAGTTTGTTTCTTGTGGACCTACGTGAACTCGTCTGATCTGGTTTGATATATATGCAAGATGGTGCCAGGGAGATAAGTAAGGCTTTATGGTCTCGCTATGGAAGTTGTTTGCCGCTCAGATCACTGAGCGGTGCTCCCCTTTTTACACCATATGTTTTGTTGTTATGTTTTTATTAGCCTTTATTTATTGTGTAAAGCCATTTTGACTATTCACCTCAAAACTACCAACTTCCTTTTTGCATCCCAAAATAAAACTCTTTAGATCAATGTTTTAGACTCACAAAAAAATCCTCCCCAGTACAGGGGTACTCAACTGTAAGAGCATTTCTTGATGGTTACCATATTTATTTCAATAAGCGCCCAACCTCAAATAAGCGCCCACCTTGAATAAGCGCCCATCCTAAAGGCAGAAAAAGTTAATAAGCACCCAGCCTCGAATAAGGTGAGGTGTCCATCTTATAAAAGTGTCTGTTGAGAGAGAGTCAACTGTACTAACCTGAGAGTCGACTGTACTAACCTAGATTTGCACTTGAATTTTTAAGTCATGTCTTTCACTTGTAATAAAGATTTAGGTTTCTGGAAAACTGCCCACCTACCCCTTCCCTAAGCTAAAATTAACACTTACTTCTCACTTAGAGCAAAATAATGGCTTAGGAGAGGGGTAGGTGGGCAGTTTCCCAGAAACCTCAATTGATCCAGATTTTTCAATGTATTTTTTTAGGTTACGAACTCAGTGTGAGATGCTAATTCTTAAGCACTCTAAGGAGTATGGCCGAAGAGCTGAGGAACGGCTTTGGAGAAAAGTGTTTTATGATGTTATCCAGAAACTGCGCAGTCACAGAAAGGTTAATATACCAAACACTCAATGACTCAAATGACTTAAAATTCCATGGTAGTGTAGCTAAGCCTTAGATGTGAAGGTTTTTTCCCATTTCCCATAAGATTATCTCCACAAGTTACTTGAGCATGATTGTCTGCTTGGGTAAAAGTAGTCTTGAAAAAGACTGTTGTTGACAGTGACTGGCGTTTTGACAACCTCTGCGGTAGTAATTGTCAGAGTCAAGGTCAGTTATATCATGTCAGTTGATGGTATTAAACTCTGGTTATTGATCTGATTGGTCAAATAAGTTGTGGTTTTATTGGTCATCTGTCAGTTAAGCCGAAAAGAATGCATTTCAATCCATCTATTGTCGCAGTTAAACAATCATTAATTTTTAGTCTAAATTGTTGGTTGTCCAGTCCTTCTCATAGTAGGTTGACCACTGCACAGGTTGTCAAAACATCAGTCACTGTCAACAACAGTGCTATTCAGGACTATGTTCACCCAGACAACCATACGCAACCAACTTTTGAACAGGGCTTGCACAGTCTTGAAAAGTACTTGAATTTTAGGGAAAGTCCTCGAAAAGTCCTTGAATTTTCTTCGGCTTTGAATGTTGTGGCCTGGTAACTGTATTTTAAATGCTTTTTGGTTGTCCAAGACTGAATAAATAAATCATAGCTCAGGGAAGTTAAAAGTGATCTACATAAATCAGTTTTTGTTTATGTAAGAATTAAACATCAATTTAAGACAAGTGAACTGGAAAAATTAATGTAGAGAATTTGGTGGGTGGAGCAAACAGTTCAAGCCTTAAAGTCCTGTTAGAATGGACAGGGTATGTACATTTTGGTACAATCTGTGAAATCACATTCCTGGTAGGTAGTCCTTGAAAATCTAATGCGGTCCTTAAAAATCCCTGAAAAGCCCTTAAAAGTGGTGCAATTTTTTGTATGAATCCTGTATGAAATGACTCCTGCCAGGCTCAAACATTTCATAAGATTATTTCTATATTTACAGATTCTGGAGGAAGATTCTGCAGGTCTTGATGCAGTACTCCGTACCCATCTGTCATCTGCAGCAGGATATTATTACCATCTGTTGACCCATCTTCAGCTTTTTTATCATCTTACACTGGACAGTGCATTGTCTTGGGGATTTCCTTCTTCTCAGAAAGGTAGGGTTTCAATTTTTGTCTTTAATGCTGTGTCCCGGGGGGCTGACTGTTATTTAACCCATTTGCTCCTGAGAATTTCACTGAAAAACACATTTGAAACTAGTCAAGCTATTTTCTGGTCACTTTCTGGCTATAGAGAGCTAAAACTTACCACAAAGCCGTTTGCAGGTCGTACACTTCACGACGGATGAAAATAGTTGACAAAATAGTAACTTCTGAAGTTTGGGCATGGGCAGAAATATGCACGATTTTATACAGTTGAACCTCAACTAACTGCCACCTCTTTACAACAGCCACTTTTTTTGTCCCGGCGGACAGTCCATACATTGACTCTTATTAAAACCTCTCCAAAATGGCTACCCCTCCACAGTGGCAATGGCCACTAAAGCGTGTCCCCAACTGCGAAAATAACCTCTCCACAATGGCCAGTTTTTTCAGCAACTGATGAAAAAGTCAAGAATGGTCATGAAATTTGATTCGTATGGCACATTGATGATTAATCGCGGCAATCGTATTTTGATTTTGTTCCATTTATAGTGCTGCAGTAAGCATAAATTGTCTACGATACTTATAGCGAATGTTGCTAACCTTTCTTGTTTTGTCACGTTAGCATTTTATTCAAAACATCATTCAAGCTTTTTTGCGTATTTTATCTCTATTATTTATGATTGGATTGTTATCATTATGGGAGAGCACAATAAACCTTTTGTACTCCCTTAAAAAAATTGTCATATTACACTCCTTACCTCTCCATAACGGCCACCTTTCCACAACAGCTACTTTCTTCTGTCCCCTAGGTGGCCGTTATGGAGAGGTTTGACTGTAATATTTTCTCCCTCCAATCTCCACAACCTGTAATAAACTGTAAAATAATAGTTAATAATAATTATTCAAAAATTGACAACATGCCTTTTCCATGTAAATATGATCAAAAGCGATCTCAGGAAAAAGACCATCCTTTTGAAGTTAATTTATCTTTATATCGGTATTTCTTCTTGTCGCCATCTTCTTCTCTTGATTTACTGAACATTAGGCTGTTCATACCTTTATAAAGCAGTCAGTGGTCAATTCCCCAAGAGTGTAAAAAGCTCCAATAAAAAGTCCAATTTAAGCTTCCATCTCATTTTGTTTTTCCCCTTCTGCTGTTGTTTTGCAAGCTCTCTACAATTTTCTTTATGAACAGTGAAATGCACGAAACTATTGCAATTCAATTTCCAAGAAAAAACTTGAAAAAACATCACTCTGGATTCTGATTGGACTTTTCATTTTTCTGTTTTCTTGTGAAAAACATTGTTCATTCCTTTAACCTTTAGGCTAGAACTCATCTGTGTGCACATGAAAATTTACAACATAGCTTTTCATTGAGTATATCTCATTATGTATATAAAATAAGTTATTTGTTTGTTTGTTTGTGTGTTTTCACAGCTGTTGTTGAGGAAGAGGAAACAGTTTCTTGGGCGATAAGAGCATGTCAACGCTGCCTTATTTACTTAGGAGACATTGGTAAGAGTGCCAACATTTGGATAAGTTCAAGAATTTCCGTTATGTTTAACAGCAAGAGCAAACTTGTAGTACATGTACCTGTTACAAGAATTGTTTGGGAGAAGTACATTTTTCGTAGTTTGTAAAATATTGAGTTGCATTCATGTATTCCTCCTACAGCTCGATATCAATCAGATCTTGAAGGGGAAGACGCCATTAAATTGGCGGAAAGGTTTTACTGTGAAGCTGCTTTGATCAACCCAGATATCGGTAAGTGTGCACCAAATTGACAAAATGTCTGTGTCATTGAAGTCAAGATTGTTTTAGTTCATATTAAAATACATGAAAAAAACTTTCTGGAATCTGATTGCAATGCACTCTTTAGCAAAACACAGCTCAAAAATGAGGAAAAAAAATAAAACACCTGAGAGAATGGAGCAATGTGAGTGGCTGATAAACAAAGGCAGTTCATAAGAACCAATCAGGTGCTACAATCTTCATTGGCGACTTTGAAGTGACACGTGGTAACTGGGTCATTGTTGTGTCAAATTGCATTGTGGGACTTTCTTGGGACAAATTTAGTTGCAATAATTTTTTTTATGAATATTATTGAAGGGTAATCATACGACTTTTCTTATTCTTATTTTTCATAATGCTCAAGTTGCATAAGCCTGTGGCACTTTTTGAAAAACAAACACGTTCAAATTAATTCCAAATTGAACCCAAAGTCATCTGATTACCTATACAAATTTCACTGTTATGAAAACTAGTTTCTGTTGCTCTCAACCCTAGTATGACCACTGGAAACAAAGTTCTACTACAGGTACAGGTTAGAAAGCACAGCAAGGAGCTGCTTCAGATGGAAACGAAATTATTACATTAAGCATTTAAAATATATTCTTGGTTTGCAGGGATGCCTCAAAACCAGCTAGGAACCCTTGCAGGAACAAAGGCTTTTGGCTGTGAGGGAGCTTATTTTTACATGAGATGGTAACATATTTTTCTTCTTTTAATACTAACTTTCTTGATGCATAAGAATGCTAGATCCTGCTGTTTGATTCAGTCTCTTTTGTTGTGACATTTTGTTGCAGTCTTTTGTCGAAAGAAGTCTTTGAAGGGGCTGAAGGGAACTTGCTAAGAATATTTGAAAAGAACAGATCTATCCTATACAGGATAAAGGAGTTGCCTCTTGACGAGCCCCAGCCCAAAGAAAGGTATGACTTGAATTCTCTTGCATTTCCAATGTACTTCTTGCTAATATTTTTAGTCAGGGAAAAGAGGTCGGAGAGCTCAGAATTCCACACACTCGTTCCACAAAAAGGAAAGACCAAATGAACACACTGTCAGGGCAGGAAACAGACTGATCATTATACGTTCCTGAGAAACTGCTCACCTTCCCCTCCCACAAGCCAACTTTAACACTTACTTCTCACTTTGGGCAAAATGTTGGCTTAGGGGAGAGGTAGGTGGGCAGTTTCCTAGAAATGTATAATGACCCAGGTCTGATAGCCCAGGACAAGTAAATTTTAGTCTTGGGCAAGTAAAAATAGAAGTTTAGTGATTTCACTCTATTAACAACGCAGTTGTTAAGAGAGGTTTCAACCACATAATGCTTTCTTTGATTACTTTAGATGGGTTTTTACAGACACACGTTGAACTGGAAGCATCACTTTCTCTTTTTTGTCAGTTGATAGTTAGTTTTGACTTTCCACAGATTGAAGCGCTTTCTTGTTTACTTCCTCTACTTACAAGATGTTCTGTACCAACATGAGAGGTGAGTAACACTAGTAAAAAACATGGACGTTCTTTTTTTGTAAGGCGTTTTACAAAATTTTGGCAAGTTCATCACCTCTTGCTTTAAGCTTACTTGTTTTGCAAAGAAAGTAGTATTGAAATCAAGAGGCATATTTGAGTCCCCTATGTACAGCTTTTGTTATGTAAACCATAGGGAAATTCACTCCTTTCTTTTTTGGGGAGAGCCCATATATACCAACTGAGTGAGAGACTAAAATAATACACTTTAAAATCCAAAGAGAGCAATCAGTGTTGAATATTTGATTTTACACCCTGTACAAATGTAGCTTTTCTAGATGCACGTTTCCCTTTTTTGCAGTACAAGTACATGTAATGTTATTTTTTTCACCCCAAAGTTTTAAAACAAACTTCGTTTTGTGATTGATGCTTACAAATGAAAAATTGTTAGTTCCCCAGAGATCAGCAGCGAAGATATTGGTCATTTGTGTCAGTCCGTGTTGCAAGACTTCAGTAGTGTGCTGTCAGTAGATCCATCATCCTCTAATGGACACAAGCCAGCAATGGAGAATGGGCTCCCCCCACAGGAGAATGGGCACCAGGATACTGACGTCAAAGACGACAAGGATGGCGTCATTAGTAGCTCGCTAATGGTCAAATTGGTTGTCATGGCAATTTCTACTGTCACCAGACTGCAGTCCAATAGTAAGTGCCCAATCGAGTTTGAAGATGAGAACCTTTGACCTTGTGTTTAGTGCCAGTGGTTAATGACCTCTGCAGCGATCACCCAGTAGTTCTGATACTTTAGTGAGCCTGCTGTAGTCTGTGGACAGGCTCCCAAGGGAGCAGGGTAGAACGCGGAAGTTCCCATCCCTTCCCCCCTGTTTTTTACCCTTCCCTGCTCTGGTTACCGGTCGTTTCTATACAAAGTCGTTTCGATACAAGTTGTTTCGATACAAGTTAATTCCTTCGAGGTATAAATATTTACAAGTACTTGGCTCAAATAACCAAGAATATTCACCCAAAATGTTTCTATTGTTCAATTGCAAACTTTACTTGAAGTAATCGAAATTTTTGTGCAGTTTTACTTCTTGAGTTCGTATTGAAACGACCGTTTTCCCCTGCTCTAGATCTACGCACGTTTTCTGGCCTTTCCTTCGTCCTTCAGCAGTTAGCTGCATGCCGTGTTTTTGCGCAGACGTGCCGTTATGGTGCCTTCATTTTTCCTTGTCAAACGTTTCGCTCAAACTCGACGCTGCAGGAAAATTCTGTTCTCACTGCCTCGCCACCTCTGGTAACCAATCAGTTCGATGTATGGGCCTACTGTCTACCCTTTCGCCTACATCCCGTGATTGCTATTCCTAAAATTTCCCTTTACGTATAGGAACCAAACTGGAAAGTCAACCAGATAGCTAGGCGAATTGACAGAAATTGTCACCTCCATCAACCCTTTGTCTTTAAGTGTTTAAGGTTTTGTCCGTCAGCAAATTTTTTTCCGCACCAGTTTTTCTCATCACTTGCTCAGTGTTTGCGGAAATATTATTTAGGAATATTCCTTGCAATGTTAGTTTAAGTGCACAATTCTTGGAATACCAAAGACTGGTAATGCGGCGAACATACCGCGCGGCATTTTAGAAGAAAGTGAAACCACAATAAGTGACACGGAGGAAAGTGATTAAAACTTACTTAAAAGTTTAATTTTGTTGACATTTTTCGCAGATTCCCAAGAGTCTTCAGTGGCAGCTGCATTTACCTTAGCGTTTCTTTCTCTCCTTCTCCAACACTGTATTTCCTCATTTGAAAACTTCTTAGCAAAGGATCCGACCAGCTCCGAGCAGAATGTGGCAAATGGACCGCAAAAAACAGCTGCCACGCAGAATGGTTTGAGCGCGGAAAAGCTACAAAAGCACGAGAGTTCCTCGTTGGGATTGAAAGCTACCAAGCCCCTAAAGGACTTCAGCGAAACAAAGAAACTGAAGAAGGCATTGAAACATCGGCGTCGACGACGACGAAGAAGAAATGTCGATTACAGTTTTGAGAGCTACAGCGGTAGCGGAAGCGATTTTGATGAATCCGGAGGCGAGAATGATGAGGATAGTGATTTGAGCGAAGGAGGGGGAGATGTGGAGAATGTGTTAGAAGACCTGATGAGCGACGACAGCGATGATGTCTATGTTGAAAGTGAGTCGGATAGTGAGAGTGGAAACACTGGATCTGTCCCTAAGACTGTGTTCAATTCTTCGGGAGGTGAAAATCAGCTTGACAAAAGTTCCTTGCCCAAGTCTACGGAGAAGTTCTCTGCTCATCAAGCTCTGCTTGGCAAGCAGGGATTGAAAGGTGGTTTCTTGTGGCAGAACGGGATTTCAGTTGGAAAGATTTTCAGGCCGGATTTGTTCAGTGATGTAAGCGACGCTGAAACTGGTAAGAGTTACAAGTTCAGTGTATGTCTTGTGGTTCAATTTTAACCTTGGTTTAAATTTTAGTTCCTTTTGTTTTTGGGAATGGTAATGTCTGATAATGAGTTTAAAACAAAAGAAAATAAAATTTAAACCAAGGATAAAATTAACCACAACATATGGACTGGACACCAAGAAGTAGGTTGAGAAAATAAGGAACTGTAAAAATGCCCGGATCAATTAAGTTTCTGAGAAACTGCCCACCTACCCATCCCCTAAGCCAACATTGTGCCCTAAGTGAGAGGTAAAGTGTTAATGTTGGCTTAGGGGAGGGGAAGGTGGGCTGTTTCCCAGAAACCTAAATTGATCCAAATGCCCTTCATTTGAGGGTCAATGTATCGCCCCTTGTAAAGGAATCCGGATTCCGGAATCCGTGAAATTTTTGCTTGTGGAATCCGGAATCCAGAATACAGCTCAAGGAATCCGGAATCCCACTAACGATTGGAATCGAGAATTCAAGTTCCACTGACAAAGACCGGAATCCATTACTTGGAATCCCGAATGCAAGAGTGTCTTGGATTTCCTTGCGTGAGGCAAAATGTAGTTAGCATGAAAGCGCTAATTGGGTCGGGGACAATATTTTTACGTCTCCAACAGGAGACAGGACCACCATTTCACGTGGTCATCAGAGCCACGCGAAGGTATTAATAGCCCGGCTTTGCAGGGCAAAGGCACTACCTTCATTTCCCAGTTACTTTTAAGACTCTGAGTATTGGTCCGGCCCCGGGAATCGAACCCGCGGCCTCCCGCTCTGCAGTCAAGCGCGCTACCGTCTGAGCTATTCTTGATGCTGTCACCGGCGAAGTCTAGTCTTTCAAACCGAATTCCATATGTTTGGCAGTATAAGAAGATTCGCTCTTCCGAGTGTGAGACAATGTATACATACCAGAGAGAAACCATTACAATCATTTTTCCACGCCTGTTGCCCTCAGGTTTTGGGGACCCGGGCTTAGAAGCGTAAAATGTTTGGACCATTTTAGTGGTTTCCGCAAAAACTTGTTAGCGTATCTTTTGGCTGAAATACTTTTTCCCTGAGAAGTAATTCTAAGCAAAAGCAATCAGAGAGCTCCTAATTCGAGGACGCTTCCGTTTGATATTCCACTATAAAAGCCAGTTCTGAGCACAAGACCCAAAGTTGAAGAGCGATATACACAGGATAATTTATTATCCAGCAGCAAGATATCTGGTGCGAAGAAGAGACCCTGGTTAAAGGAAACCAATTGTGCCGTCCACTGGTCAAATACGTAGACGGGCGAAATACATGTAGACTTAAAAAGTTACACGCTTACTCTCCCTGCCAGCAGAGCAGAGCCTTCGTGTGACTTTTTGAGAATTACTCTGCTTGAATCGAGTGAGATCTTTATTGAGTATGCGCTGCATGTTGCTAGGATACAATTTTGAACCCAGGCCTAATAGCCGCGCGATTGGTACAGCGGGCTCAGTTTTGACCATCGGTTTACCAATAAACAGATGCTCGCACTCAAAAGCCCAGACTTTTGGGCTTTTGGACTTTTGGACTTCAAAGCCTTGACGCGATTAGGGCAGAGCTTCCTTTTCTCTTGCTTGATCAAAAAGAAAACAAAAAGAGGCTCTGCTCGCAGGATGACGATGTTTTTCTTGTAGCCGATTTAGTTACCATAGTTACACGGTCGACGCCGTATGAAAAGACATCGTTACAGCATTGGCTTTGTATTTGTGTTTAGAGTCATCTGTTGCATCAAGAACTGAAATACTGCGTGACTGTGTGGAGTCCAATCTACTGAAAGCCATGGCGGGTCAGAAACTACTGCCAGCAATCAAAGTATTGACTGACTGGCTTCGATTGAACGCAGAACTTGTTACGAGTTGTGTTGAGGTAGGAATGTTTTTTGTTGTTGTTGTTGTTGTTGTTTTTTCATATAATTCTGAAGGGTTTATCCCCAAGATGTTTCTTGTCCCCTTCAGCTTCTTTTCCCCTTCATTATCCCTAACAAATAAATCTATTTTCGTATTTACCCATTACAACCTGTAGGTAGTTCCCTGTGTACCAGATTGCCCCAAGCTTGGATCAATCCTTTGACACCTAGCATTGATCAAAGCAAAAATTTCGAAAAAAAAGCATAGATTTTATTTGTCAAATCCCAAGAAATAAATGTTACCATGGAAAAGTTCTACCAAAAAGGTTTCATTTGAGTGGTAATACCATGGAATTTCGTCCACAAATGCAATAGTTAGATTGACAAATCATTACACGATAGCTCGGCCTCGGAGTGAAGGGTTTAAGTTACTCGGGACTATTGAAACTTGAAAAATTGGGCAAAACCACAATCCTAGCGGCAACTTGTGTTGCGAAATAAATAAATGAAAAATTTTTATATATTTTTTTTCTTTTCAGAGTTTGGGTGCCCTTTGGTCGAGATTAGCTTCACTCCTGAACATGTTCCCTTCCGCTGAGCAAATGATGGCGGCAGGTTTGTAGTAATTGTCTCATCCCCTTAATTTGAATATATGGGGATTTGGAAGTCTTCAGTCAAACCATTTGCTCACAAGCTACAATCTTGAGCAAAATAAGTTTGACCCCATGGGTAAATATACAGGGTGTCCCAAAAGTTCGCTCCTCTACTTTATAAGTCTGTATTTCAGTACGATTGGACTTGGTAAGAAAATCATTTAAACAAAAGTTGTGACTTTCAATCTAATTCACTATTCTCGTACTTGTTGTGCCATCTTTTGACTCGAATGTTCGATTTGTGTACTGCCGCGCCAAAGGTGCGCGTGCGCGAGTATATTTTCCAGCCTTTTTTTGTCTGTATTTTATAGCCCGAATTGCCCTAACTCCTTCCTTGTTTTTTGTGAATATCAAGAAAGATAAACACCCCTAACGCAAAAACGTCCAGCTACGTGACAGTATAAGCATGTATACTTCGATTTACTGGCTTATCTGTGATGGAAACTGCTAAAAAACTGGAAAAATCCGAATGTTGGGTGGGAAATGATCATCGCGAAATGAGGGTTTTGAAGGCAAGAAACGAGGGGGAAGACCAACAGTCCTGAATAAAGCAGGTAAAATAGTTTTAAGAAGAGACTAGATACAAAAAAGAAGACGTCTCCAAAAGGAAACTCTCACATAGTTAGCAAGCCAAGTCCAGAAAGGGTCATGAAAAGCTGTTTAAAATGTTTAAAAAATTAGTGACCCCTGTGGTGGCAAAAAAAAAACTCTGCTTAGTCTGCCTAGTAACGCCCATCTCGTCTCAAATTGTAAAGAAGTACAAAAGCCTTACTGTGGAAAGGGATGATTATCTTTTTTGGATGAGTGCCCAATATTTTTTTCAGCTGTCTAAACTAAACAAGTATTGTTTGGGGGCTGAACTGACTCCTGGGCACCAGGTGATAAAAAAGCTCAATATGGATCATTTGAGGGTCTACACGCTATATTCCACTTCATGCCGCAACGGCTACAGAATGTGATAAAAAAACAAAAAGGGTACCCTAGTAACTGAAATTCTGAATACATGTTCTCGATAGTGAAATAAACATCTAGGAATTTCAAGGTAAAATAAAGTTTTGATCAAAAGTTTTAGTGCATGAAATTAGAGGAACGAACTTTTGGGACACCCTGTATTGTTCTATATAACCTCCTATTCCCTTGTTCTTCAATCTCTTGGCACTTTTCGTGTTTGCATTTCTCCTCTATGACTACTGGATTAGCGTGGATAACCTTGACTCGTTTCTTCCCTGATACTTGATATCCCCTAGTTTGTTAATTCCCTAACGCTTCTCTGCTTGCATCCGTTCTCTATGCTTGGAAAAGCATAGATAACCATGACCCCCCTATTACTACTTGAGATACATAGCTTAGGATGGCTTCGTCAATCCAGAGCCTAGTTACAAGAAGTAGCGTTATTTTCTTTTAATCTCCACCGTTAACAACGTTCCGCCTTACGGAATTGATTTCTTTTATCTCTTAGTCCCAATTCCAAGACGACCGACATGGCGAGGTATTCTTGATGAGACGCTCGACGAGAACTGGGTCCAAACACGTGGTCTGCCGGAAGACATGTCGCTTTTAGGATTTACACCGCTGACTGCAATACACAGCAAGCTCGACAAGAAGTGGAGCAGGCTTACAAGAGACTGCCACTATCTTGAGGTAATATCTCCCCCTTTAAACCATGAATACCCTAGTTGCCTCGGGGATGTTTTTAGTCCATTGCTAGGGCAAATGTCTAGCCTACGCAAAGCCTAATTCTTTCCTTAGGAAAAGTCAGGGAAGGGCATAGTCATCAGTGGCGTATCCAGGGGAGGAGGCTCCCCCCCTTATTTTTGAACCAAACTAAGGTCCGAAGGGCGGAAAAAAATTCCTTTGAAGACCAACCCCCCCCCCACCCCCACCTACACTCCACACCCATACCCGCAGAACCACCACCCCATCAAACACCCAACCCCCGCCCGCAACTCCCACACACGCGCCGCTCACCACCACCGCAAAACTATTTTTTTGCCATGAGAAAAGCGGGGGAGGGGGCACAAATCAGGGGGCAATCCCGGGGGGGGGGCCCCCCCCCTTTTTTTTTTAACAAACTAAAGGGTCAAAGGGGGAAAAAAATTTCTTTTGAACCCCCCCCCCCCCCCCCCCCCTTTATTTAGGGGTCTAATCCCCCAAACCCCCCCCCCCCCCCCCCCCCCCCTCATCTCAAGGTCTGGATCCGGCACTGGTCACGATGTAAGAAAATGACGCTTTTCAAGGTTTCTCATAAATTTCGTCCGATTTTTGAAACGATGTTAGGCGCAATTTCAAAAATGCGTGCCAAAACAAGCGGCGATTTCGTGGCAATTTGTCCCTGTGTATTGGTCACCGTTTGTGGAACGTGCTGTAATTTTTCCGCGATTTATCTTACTTTCTGCGCAAGAGTACGCTATCCCAAACAACCTAGTGGATAAGCGTTTACAGCAGATGCGCAACAGGCACAGGACTAATAAAAAAAATCACACAAAGTAAAGCACGACCCTTAAGAAGCTTAATGTTAAGCACTCCCTCATGCATCGAGCCACATAACCGTATCTTTGAACTGATAGCATTTAAATACGGAAATGTGAGGTCCGAAGTTGAAGCATCCGCAATTCAGAAATGAGATTCTCGTTTGCTCTTAAGAAAAGGAAGAAATACTGTAGCCACTCTATGAATGGTAAAACCTTATTCTTTTTTAAGGAACGACAGGTCAACGGTAAGCTGTGATTTGAACATCTACCCCTAAATTTCGTGTCTTCTTTTTCTTTATAGGCAGCTGTTCGAGTTCAGTGTTTAAAGAGCTTTGGTATGAAGCTAGCATTAACCGAGGTAGGCTAATCCTTGAACCCAAGAAGACAATTTCCACAGAGAGTAAAGGTACGGTAAAACGAGCAACAAAGACGTGCAACCCGTTTGGCAACAGTGTTGCAAAACGGGTTGAATAGCGATGCTGTGCGTTTTACCACTCACGAATTCATACTATCTTGCATCAAATCAAGTACTTTCAGGTTGTGAAAAGATGTTGCAGAAAGTAGAGAGTAGCTTTACTTTTTGCAACAAAATATGTCCATGATGTGCGTTTTACCGGATCAGGGAAAACTGAAACTCACATGACTTAACTCACATGAATGGCGCGACTCCCGCGTAATTTTGTCCAATCAGAAGTCACACTATTCACGCAACTTGCAACAACCTTATTTGTTGCAAGAGAGGTTTGAACGTGAGTTGTAGAACGCGGAACATGGCTTTGTTGATCGTTGTACTTTTTTGTTGCCCTTTTACCGTAGCTTAAAACAGCTACCTACAAAAGGCGGGTTTTTTTGTGGTCTCTTGTGTGAACTGAACTTTTATAACTTTGCTCATGTTTTTTTTGTTCTTCAGGAGCTGAGTTCATTTGTTTGGGATCAGAGCAAACAGCAATTCCTTGGGCCTCAGCAGATGGCAGAAAGAGAGAAGCGAAAAAATCCCGATAAACAACAAGCACCGTCAGCTCCCGTAAGAGAGAAGTTCCTTAGTGTAGTTTGTGTTGTAATGACTGGGGTGTAATAAACAATTATTCCACGAGTGCCCGTTGGGTATGAGTTGGCTATAATCATCTCATATTCAACAAGCGCGAATGGAAAAATTGTTTTATTAAAAACTCCCACAAAATATCGAGAATTCTTCCCGACTTTATTTGTAAAAACAACCGATTTCAGCTTGTTTTGAGCAGACGCGCACAGTTACCATATTGGGAGAGCATGGTATAATGGCTCATAAACCATGATGGCTAAGCCAATCAGAGCTCTAGAATTGCATTATCCAATGATTCAGTTTTTAATAATAACACTTATTAGAGGGACGATGACGAGATTTTCTCAATACTACATAGCTCTTTTAGCTCATTCCTTTCCCTAATATGATCGGTACCCTCTCACACCACTGTTAGTATATGGGTGAACGCAGAGCGCGCTCTAGGTGAAAATGTTATTTAAAGGAGCTGTGTCACGAAATTCAGGCAAATTAGGAAATTACAATATGCCTGTTAAATTAAGAGAAACATAAAAATAACCGCTTAAAACTTTAAAGGAAGGTTAAAATAACATAACGGAAACAACAGATGCCACGGATGGGCAAAACTGAAGAAGATTGAAACGGATTGAAATTAGGATTTTTAAAAACCGTTCAGCCTAACAGTTTTTCAAAGTTGATCCCTGCTGCTTGCAACCTTTCAAAAATAATGCTCAGGAGACATATTTGTTTGCCTTGGATCTCTGATGTTGTCATTTACGTGTAATTTCTTTGCTTACTTTAAGTTCCATGGCGATTGAGGGCGAGTAATTCGCAAAATTAAACAAAATGAACTAGACTGCCGTGACACAGTCCCTTTAATAAGAAACCAGTTCATTTATTGCCATGCTGAATCCTTACCTTCACCCTGATGTTCTTGCGCCGAGAATCTCCTCTAAAACAAAGCAGAAACTAAGAAATGAATAGCACTCTGAATGACTCTCTTATTTTTGCCCCTCAGGGAAACCGCTCTCGTGTAATGAAGGCTATGGCTCAGCAGTTGTTACAGGTAATGTCTAATAGATCTTTTTTTTTTCCTTGTTTAACAGGAAAGTACATGTTAGAGTTCTCAAACATCCACTTTCATATCCTCATCCGCAGTTGACACATATTTGTATTTTATATATTCTATGTCAGCTTTTTAGTATTTTGATAACACTTAACATCCAGATTCAAAAATAACCTGTGTGCGACGTGAATGAGTCAAATGCTCATCAGTCAAGTACTGTTTTTCAGAGTGAAGTGGCAGAGCTAGAGAGCACTCTTAAAACAACTCCGCATGGAAGTACAGCATACCTGGTCCCTGATGCCATGTCATTATGCAGTCAGCTTCATCTGGTGCGAAGGCTGGTCACCGCAGAGAAAATGGTCATCATCATTCCCATTCAAGGTACTTTACTTTTCCCCTGCCTGTTAAAGTGGTAGTCTTACTATATTTAAAAACTATAAAACTGATTGTCTATCTCAAAGCGCGTAAACCTCAAGCTCGATCTAACTCCGTCGTTCCCAGTCACTCTTACTCTGGGTAACGACAATGATCGCGCATGAAAAGCCTCTTGCAGGATTAGCGCAGTCGGAAGAGCGCTTGAATGCAGAGCGGGACGTCGCGGGCTCGATTCCCGGGGCCGGACCAATACTCAGGGTCTTAAAATAACTGAGAAATGAAAGTACTACCTTTGCACTGCAAGCGGCGAGTCATTCACGTGGCTCGGATGACCACGTAAAATGGCGGTCCCTTCTCCGGTCGGAGACGTAAAAATAGTGTCATCAATTAGTACTTTCGTGCTAGTAAATACCTTGACATTCAAATAAAGTGCATTTTTTTGGCACGAGCGTAGTGATTCGTTTGCCCGACGCGAAGTTACGACAGACGTATTTTGCAGAGTTTTTCCGATCTCATGATTTTTCCCTTGGCAAAATTTCAGAAAGAAAACCCTACGCCTACCATTTAAAAAGAGCAAACGTGTGTGATGATTTTGTTGACACTCTATCCAGGGACACACAAGAAGTTTCTCCATCACGTACTGTTTTTAGGTTATAAGTGGTCTAGCCTTGTTTTCTGTAATAAGATACACGTTTTTAGCATTAATTTGCTCTGTATTTTCTTCACAAATTATTAATGAGTGTTTAAAGGCTTTTAAAAAAGCTACGGTACATCATCGAAATGTGCCACGAGTTCATCCGAGGGAATACCTTTCAAGACTTCAAGTCTCACTAAAGAAGCAAACAGTATAGTCTGTGTTTATAGTGTTGAAACTCAACCAAGGCACGAGACGAAAGCTGAAACAAACACTTACGCACTTCGGTGGCGCTCTTTGCACAATCTTATTCTCGGATATCCTGTGCGCATGACTGCTGTTCTATTGCACAACAGTCTGCTGATGCACCTGAACTTTTAGGATCCCGAAACATAAGTGATTAGGACGAACTTGAAGATTCTGACTCGATTTCTGCGTTACAGTGATAGCCGCGCTGGACGAGCTGAAAAAGTATGACAGCGGAGCAAGAGAGGCTACAAAGTTTTTAGAGCAGGAGTTTAAGAAGGGAAACAGGTAAAACCGTCTTTCTTTTTGTCGTGAATTATGACCAATTATGTGTTTCCGTTACCCCAAAACGTAATTACTACAATTTAGATAACACAAACTGTGCCCGTCGTTTACATGATGATCTGTTTTGTTGTGATTTAGGTGGATCCGAGCGCAGAAGGAGAATGAGACGTTGGGTGGAGGCAAAAAGAGAGGACGCTATGAGGATGTCGCTGTGTGGTGAGTTCCTGTGGGATATCCTTGCCTTCTGTTGAGTAGCTCATAGTTTTTCTTAATGTCCGAGTTCAATGTACCATTTTTGGTATTCTCGGAGCTAAAACCTATAGCTACTTGTAGTCGAGGCTCATGAGGGGGAATCTTTTTATGTGCAAATATCCTTCAGAATTCGCCTCAATTTCAAGCTAGTTTCAGTTCATTACCGAGGTTAGGAGTTTGTTGCTGAGCTTCGCTTGAAAATTGGCTACTGCATGGTAAAGAACATGTGCAGGGCCGGGGGAACAAGCTGCAGTAGTTGTGGGTTAAGATAACCCAGGGGTTGGTTCGAAATTGACCACTCCAGAAAATACCATCACATACCATAATGCTCTTTGTTTGTCACCCCATAATTTTGCATAAGCATTGTTTTCATTTTCTTCAATTAGAATTCAGATGTGAATGAAAATTCAGTTAAATTCTCTTTGTCTACAATTTGATGAGAAGAAGACGCACTAAATAGAATAGACAAAATGGTTTGAACAAAAGAAAAAGAAACCCTGATTAACACGTAACTCCGAGTTAATAGTTGTTGGTACAAACATTTCCATCGTTAGTCATTACTTGTTTGCCATTTCTACTATGAACTTTCCTCATAATTATGTTTTTCTAATTTTTTGCAGGCGTTTCAATCAGATCATCAACTGTTGCCGGTACTTTATAAATCAAACTGGCAAAGGCCTAGTCACTTTACTGACCGGTGGCAGCTCGTACGAGCCTCCAAAGCGAGGCCAGAAAAAGGGCATGGCCGCTAGTGGTACCCAGGCCACACCCGAGGCGGTGGAATTGGCACGGAACTGCGGTATCACTGTGGAGTCGCTGCGTGTGTTTTGCGCGCGATTTTCTCAGCAAGCGAAGTCAGTCACGTGAAGCAGTTATGAAATGATCCAGATGTTGTGGAAGTGCTAAAGATATAGAGGGTAATACACCCTTAAAACGAGGTGTGAACCACAGCAGAACCAACAAGACCGGTTCAGTCTAGGTAAAGGCATTACGTGACTACAACCACAGGACAACCACCTTCTATTTTTGTTGTATCGAAGGGTCTTTAAGATGCGATCGTTTTCTTAGGGTACACTAAACAAGGTAACTTTTATCTTAAACCTTCCAAGTTTTGTGGCAAGCTACACTTAAGCTGTTTTGTCTCTTAATTTGCGCCTTTCTCTGTGGCCTTGCGCCCGTTATTTCTCCTCACCGGAGGTCAGCAGCTCAGATGGTTAAAAAGTTTCGTGATCGCTATTATGGGGGCGCACAGTTTCTGCTGCCAGCAAGAAAAATTCAGAAAGTACTTAGGTAGACAGCTTTCTTTCCCAGACGGAGAGCCTTGATGGGAGGAAGTCAAATTGAGAAAATCTTAATGTAATCTTACTAGTTTTTCTTGTAGTGCTGGTCGTTAGAGATCTTTGAATCGACACTGTCGCTGTATGGATGCAGGAGTTAGTTAGACAGTTAGACAGCAAGACAGTTTGTCCTAGGAGGGTGGGGTTGGAGTAGTTGGTATAGTTGGAGTTTATCGTAGAAAACCTGTCACATCACGATCGCTGGACTTGCGTTTTGCAAACTTTCATTCAGTTTTCAGAAATATTTGCGGCCCTTTCCAGTATGCTAAACCTGAATTCATTCGTCAGGTTTTAAGCAAGTTTTACAGGACCAACTAAAAGTTGCAATGTAAGCTTCCGAGTTTTCTATGTTATCAAAAAGTTTAAAGTTTTGACTCCTTCATTATTGGTCTGTACTTGTGTACGTTTATCTTTCTTCATAACAGTTAAATAGCTCTTACTACGAAGAATGTGTAAGCAATGTCTCTTTTTCTTTTCCCGTGAAGCAGTTTTCTAGTGTTTGTTGGAACGGACATGTAGGTGCGTTTTTACTTTTAGAATACTCTCGCGAAACATAGACCTGTTTAACTTGTATGTTTTGTTTTCCTAGTGAAGGTCTCAGGGAACTTGCCGCTTTGTCTTTTCATAAATTATCCGTTCATATGCACGGGAATAAGACGAAATTTGAAAGAAGCGGTTCTCAGGAGTATTATCACATGGCCTACACTGGAAACTAAAACAAAACATACAAGCTTTTTTTGGTCTATTTGTGCGAACACTAGTGACATGATTTTAAGCGCCTTAATGTATCTTATACAGTTCTCACCAATCCCAGGTTTTCCCGCGCCTTAATGTGTGTCACCAGTTCCTTATTTTGACGCGCTTTAGTGTGTGTCACCAGTTCCCTGCTATCCCGCGCTGCAGTGTGTGTCACCAGTCGCTATTTTGGCGCGCTTTAGTGTGTGTCACCAGTTGCTATTTTGACGCGCCTCAATGTGTATCGCCTGTTTTATGCTTCGGCGCGCTTGGGACTGGTTACTGGTCTTCCAGTGCTTATCACCCCTTACAGTTTTCCCGCGCTTAGCCGGAGTCGGCTACTGTTTTTTCCGCCCTTTGGTTGATTGAAAGGTTGTGATTGGCAAGTTATTGTACTTTAACGGCGCTTATTTGAAACTACTGTGTGATCAGAAAAGCAAGGCAAGATCAGCAAGGCGGGAAAAACTGGTCTCTGGTGTTGCTGAGGCTTAGTTACATAACAACTAGGAAAAAACCTGTCCGCGGTCTTTACTGACAGCCCTCTATTGTGCTTGCTAGAGAACTGATAATAATAACTTCTGAAATGTTTTAATCATAAGTAAGGTCATTTTTTCTCTAAGCATGTTGCAGTATAGCCTATCATAGATCATCAGACTAACAGAAAGCGAAATAAACCATCGTGATGATAGGAGTGTGGGTGATTTCTTTTGACCAGGTTGTTGTTGTTTTTTTGTTGTTTTTTTTTGCTTTCTTGAACTTGCGTTTTCAGCTCCTTTACCTGCGTTTGAACTTTTACCAGTTACAGAGATGCATACTTCTCAGTATACGTGAAACGTGGATTCTACTCTTTGACAGGCCCTCCGTCCGAAGTTCTTCAAACACCGAACTTGTGGTCAGGTTCTTTAGCAGTGCACGTTTTCCCCCACAGTACCTGGCGTTTCATTTGAAACAGCATTATTTATTTGCTGTTTTGTATGCGGTCCAGTTTCTTGGTGTAGGTGCAATCACCAAATGACGTAATACAAAGGACTTAAAAGACACCGAACTACCCACACCACAACACAAAAGCGAACCAACAATGGTTTCCGCATGCGCAACACCCGCGTTCTCAATTCGGATTGCTAGGATTTTTGGGATATATTAATGCGCCCTCTGATTCCTGGAATAGAATCCACGGGCCCCTCTTACTCCTGGGATAAACGTCAGGCGAAGCTATCGGTTAATTCCAACGCGTCCGCAAGCGATCCCCACCGTTGCTGTTGTTTTTTTTCTGCGTGGAAACATTTCAAGAATTAAAAACCCGCATATGCCCATGCCAAATTCTCGCTAATTAAACAAGTTAGCCGGTGGCCAATACCTGCTATCCAGTGGAGCGAACTAAGCCCATTAGGAACTCAACTATGCGAGGAGAAACCGCATGACACGTGATTTGAGTTAAGGTGGAACTTGCCTTCTAACCGGGGACAACTCCCATACCAAAGAGACGGGGAGGCTCGTCGGAAAAGTAGAATTTAACGCCCCTGGGGGCTTTTCATCCTGAGGACACTAAGGGAGACCAAAATCTACTCATCCCCGTCATTTCCATGTGGGAGTCCCCCCCGGCCCTGACTTCTGATTACTTAAATATATATCACGCTTCTACTAAGAAGAACGCGCTCTGAGGTCTCAACAATTTAAGTGCAATCAACCATGTTTTAAGGGTCTTGTTTCATTATATTGTTGCGTGCAGGGGACTTTAGAAAAAAGGAGGAAATTTCTTATATGTCAGTCTTTACGCTCGGCAAAAGTACAATAAAATTGGCCAAAAGCCCAACTCAATGTCTGCATTGTGGATCAGAGAGGTTTCTATTTTGAAGAGGATTTTATGCAATACGATTATCGCAAAACGATATCAATCTTAAAAGCGCTAAATATAACTTTCTATTTGTGTTTGTTTTGTTTCTTGAAGTAATTTGGCGTTCTGAGAAATATTTTTCTTAATCATTAATGTAACCACATGGCAGACAAAGAAAACACTGAAGGCTAGTTTACAAATTTCACGACCGCCCTGATTAAAATTGTTAAGAAGCCTCTGTTATTTATTTAAAGGAAATTCCTTTGGCGCATTACTGCTAAGAAAGCGACTCTGCCAAATCATCTTCTCGTGATATGCCACGCTATTTAGAGGATTTTCAAAAGCGACTAAATTAAAAGGTGAAAACTTTTGAGATTCTGAAAAATACCAGACAGTTTATAAACAGTATTTTAGTGGAGTATATTTAAAGCAAATACCGTAGCAAGGTTAAACTGTGTAAATGTTTTTATAGCGGATTTGGAGAGTTAAGATGGCAATTTGGTAGCTTTGCCGTGAATTGCCACGCGCGTGACGTTTCAATAACACGCCAACCTCGAGCATTTCAAAGTAAAAAATAAATTGACTGTCAAGTCGTCTGTTCCTACTTGAGACACTCCAGTTAAAAGAACATGCGTTTTGAATTCGAAATTCGGGCTCGTACAATGAAGAGCAGAGTACTCGCTCACTTGTGTTAATTTAATAAAAACAAAGGAATTTTAAAGAGATTTGAAAACCACAAGCCCCCAGATTATACATCACAAGCAAAGCAGAGTTAAAGGCTATTAATTTTCAAAGCTTTCATTATTTCTGGTCGTTTCCTTCGTAACAAAGAGATACCGCAAATAAACATAGCTTAATTGAGGCGTTTTTGACTAATCGTAAAGCAGATGAAGGCTATAAATCACAGACTATCATATCATCACTGCTTCTGCTTCCGTTTGGTAAACCGGATAGCTTACAGAAACATAAGAAATTATTCAGGCAATTTGAAACTAAGTAGCAAGAGTTTACAAGTACCGACAAATGCCTTGGGATCTATATATTTACAACACACGCAAAGGAATTCTAGTAATACTTAAAACCACGTGTGAAACCTTGTGACCACAGGGAAAGGCGGGGCAATGGCTATAATCCGTACATGTGGTCGGTCACCAAAACTGTCAAAACTAAATGATTGCAGCTTTCTATTCAAGACGAGACAAAGAGGGTTTTAAAGGACTGCTAATCCTCTGTCCTCGTACCTACCAGTTCGAAAAGAATGTTACCTGTTTGCGAGTAATAAAAGCTTTGTCATAAGGCGCAATAAGTACGGTCACCCGGAGAATGGAAGCACAGGTCGTTAGTGCTCCTCCAACGACTGAACTCCCAGTCTAATCATGTCTAATGGAGCGTTCGCGCAGGGTTTTCAATCTCTTGAGAAAACCCTGGGAACGAGGAAGAGGAAGGCTAGAACTGGCTGTGCCTTCCTTTGATATTTCTTCCATGGTAGACCCAGTCATTTTTCGGTTGAGAAAGGCGACATAGAGCCGAATCAAGCCGTTCGCTTGTCAACGTGCCCAAATTCCCCGTTTTCCTTCGAACGCCGCACGGCAGGCTACGCCGAATCGAGAAGAGTTCCCTGCTAATTACGCGAAGAATGGATTTCTCACCCCATATGCCCACAATTTAAACTTACGCATTTCACGGTTACTAGTCCATGAATAAAGCAAGCTCTCTCTAAACGGAAACCTCTCTAAAATGGACATTAAAAGTTGGCCTGCCGTTTTCCAGTTACATCATTTTATATATTTCTATCTAAGGACGTGACAGCGGCCGTTTTATCGCCGGTCCATCTTAAAAAACGTTGACCGTATCAGTTTCCTAGACAGTCTCACCACAGTGGATAAGTTCCCACCTTCCCCTCCCCTATCCCAACACTTTGCCCGCGTGGCTTGCACGGCCGGATAAATGATACAGCCCTTAAAATTTGTTCTACCAATGTCTGGTCCTTTCTGGTCCATTGTTTTGTCTCTGTTTTTATGTTTGTTTTTGCTTTTCATTTCGTTTGTTTTATGAAATTGAGTGAGGTGAGAACATGTGAACTCTAAAGCGTGCGGCGAATGCGCGGGAAGTCCGCGTCGATTGGCAAGACAGTCGCACTACTTTAATTACAGGGTATTTCTCCCGTCCGTGTTGCTTGCCGGGCAGGATGGCTCATCCCATTCTTCTCGTGGCTTCACCAGCTGTCTGTTGGCGCAAATAAAACATATAGGCCTAAAACCGACCAAAGAGTAAGCCTTCAGCAAATCACTCCGCGAATCTGAGATCCATTAGATTTTCCTCATTCTCCTCATAATTAGCTCGCAAAGAAGCGGAAAATAAATAAAAGTGTCTCGCTATTGATGTTCCGGCTATAAAAGACATAAAACCCTTTACAATCCCAAAACAGGATGCGGTTTCACTCTGCAATTAAAAATAATGGATTCTTTTTTTTTCAGACGATAGGCTTGCGCTCAAAACCTCAGGTTTTTAACCCTAGAGAGCCAATTTACCGGATCAACGCATTTGTTCAAACTCCCACGCACACACACAGTCTTTTTAGAAACCCTTTTGCGTATAAGAACGCTGTGGCGCCCCTACGTGATATTTGGAGGTGCCAGATGTTAATTGGACCATGAGATATAACCCTTTTACCGCCAATTATCAATCCACTGACACTACTTTTCTAGTCTGGTCCGCTTCCGTTTCGCTAACCATAAATGAATCATGGCTGCTCTGAAGGTCAAGTATTTCCTACTATAAGCAGAAATGTTTATCTTGTATTAATTAAGAGGTACATTTATAACATGTATTCTTGCGGTTCCAAGCCGAGTATCGCCTCTCCCGTTTCCGTTTATCCTGTTATCGCGAGCTTTTATCCTCCCTGGCACTTTTCTTTTGCACTCTTTTATTTTCGATTTCAACAGACTTGACCCAAGTGTTTATTCCGGCATCACGAACTGGCCTACGATTATGTACGACAAAAATCCTGAGGGGTGGGGAGTACTCCCTATAGTAGCCTATACGAGGAGGGTAGGGATTTTGCTTGTTACAGTATATATGAAAGAGGGTCTGAATGGGGTTTAGTGCTTAGTGTTATTTGCCCATAATTTTTAGTGTTTGATGTTAAATTTGCCAAGTTTTTAATGTCTACTGTTTCCGAGGGAAATACTGTTACGTTTTTGGAAGGTTCTTCGGACAATGGTCGGACCCCTTCGTTAGTCTTTGGAAATCTTCGACAGCATTTGGGAATCGTCGGTAGCCTTCGGAAATCTCCTGAAATAATCCGGAATTGTCGTAAAATGGTTGAAAATTCCTTGATATACTAAACAAAATAACTTTGGCCTTTTGGAAGCCGTTGTTGTTTCTTTCTGGAAAAAATTAACTGTTTCAAAGAGTTTTTTACAGTTAGAGTTAAAAATGCCTAAAATTTAACTGTTTCATGTTACAAAGCCAAAAAATGAAGTGTTTAATGTTACCGAGGTACCCCCATTCAGACCCTCGTGAAACTGATAGGGAAATCTGTCATTTCGTTCCGTAAAAAAGGCCTAAGAGCTAAGAAATTAGTATCCATGCCTTTTATGACTATGAAAAAGTCGAAAAAAATTGGCTCTGACCGCTTATAGTTTTGTGATTATTCATATTTTAACGGCAATGCCGTTACACCAGGTAAAAGGGATGCAAAGCTCTAATTCAGGTATGTGAAAGGAGTACCATTTGATTTGTCAATAGAAGCCATACGAAAGGAGTACCCTTTTTTACAAAATAAGGGTAAGGGGTTGGACCTCCGGCGGAGCCTCCCCGTTTT